CGAAAGCGTTTTAAGCAAACAGACGAATGTCTTAAAGTGATGGAATAATAATATGTACATTTCAATGAACTGACGATGAGAATCTGCGAAATTGAGAAATACAAGTTCCTACTGTCATGTTTGAAAAGTTCGTAGCGAAAATGAATTTCTGTGGATCCAGTATTTTATTGAATATTAAATAAAGTTTTAAATTGTCGATCTATGTGTATATAAATTAAATTTGTATTAAACTTTTTTTTTTCTAACAGATGATTATTTTCTTTTTTCAATTATAATTCAGTTGTAGAAAATTTTCTTTCTTTTGACCTAAACTGTAGATAACAGTGATGATACGTTTTTGCGTCGACTGGATTAAAAATCTAATCATCGAGCTTCTTATTCGTTTTGATATCTAAAGCATAAGAAATTTTCCTCGACGTCGAGAACTACGGCAAATGCTCTGTGGAAATTAACAAGTCCTTAAAAGTTTTTATAAGCTACGGATGCTATACACACTGGTCGTTAATGTCTTTAATACTTTTAAGAGGGAGCTCGGTAAAGTTAATAGGAACTGTGATGGAATCTCCTCTAAAGAATATAACGCCGAACAGAAAGAGGGGCCGTGTTTGACAAAGATATAAGAGTTTAATATCGAAAACGTTCTTTGAAAAATGAATCGGAACTCAATCTCTCTGTTCAAATTGGCGCAGCGTTCCAAAATGCCAATTGAAAAATGGTATTTTAACAGATATTATATTCCATAATATTCTATTCAACGCTGGCTATTACTTTATTTATGTGTTCTTTGCTTTTTTTTTTTTTTTTTTTTTTAGAACAGAATGGAATTGTAGAACGATATTTTACAAATTAAATTCACTTCTACATTCCCCATATTATTCATTTTTACGAAATATTTCCTATTGACTGAAATATGGAGATGTAACGCGTTCACTACTGATAGCAGTAAAATATTCACTCGTGAGAGCCCATTGAAATATTGTAACAAAGACGTGCTCAGCTTTGGCAATATCTTTGTCATTGAATTTATTAAACACGAAAGCAAAAAAAGTCTTTGAATTTTCAGCGCTTCAATTTTTAGAGTATCGATTCCCATCACTGTTGCATCCGATCGATAGACATTCTAGACACATATGAGTGCTAGGTGTCAAGGTTAAATAAAACTAGGATCAATACATTTTTACATACATTTTTCTTGCTGTGTCCATTAGAAAAATTAGAGACGAATGATACGTTCAGTCCAAATGCTGGAGTATATTTCAAACGTAATTTATCACGGTATCGACACTTGGAAAGGTTAGAACAATCAAATATTGATTTATCGGTGCTGGTAATATTTATTGCATGGAGGATTTGTGACGAAACGTGGAAATATTACAATATTTAACATACTGACATATGAGCCGTTTGATGCAGAAGCGTTGCACATCGGAAAAGTTAATTTCTAAACATAACAAACGACAAAATGAAAATTCTGCGACATGAAACAATATCTAAGAAATACTAGAATTGTAAAGTTGTATTAGATAGATCTTTATGCATGCAGAAAATGCCGTTTCTTACAATATTTGATACGTGAAACAATTTTCTACCAAAGTTCTTCAATTACATTTTCAAAAATATGAATTTGCATAAAAATCTGTAGTCTAATAATTTAGTTAGATCTTATAATACTTCTGCACAAAACAGAACGTAGCTTTTGGAATATAGTGTTAAATTAAATTAAGCAAAAGAGACTCAGTTATACTACTTATTGCACCAAACAGTTCACACAACAAGTATGATTTAATAATATAATGTTAATGGATGGAGATAAATTTGGATCTAATTACAAACAAATTTTTTTCTCAACCGGATAATTATTATTTGGTAAAACTGGCAAAACTTTTTCGTGTTATGAAAGCTTTCGGTGAGTGTATTTACAGTTGTATTTGTCGCGGTTGTCATTGAAATAAAACAAATAGTGACGGATGAGGATTCATGCATATAATGTTTAATTCATATCGGAAGGGCGTGATATTTTTTTGTAACATTTAATCTTCCTACGCACTCGTAAATTATTTAACAAATGCTGGATTACGTAATCCCAGTTATTTTAATACTTATAATTTATTCCTATATTACTTTTAAATTCAATATTAACCTTGCAAGCTAGTTCGACATATTTACATGATCGATATACAGACTGTATAATGAAATATGTAATATGAAATATCATGTGAAAATGACTAGATATTCATCTATTCCAATAAAATACAATATTCATTATGTCAGAAAACGTTTTTAAAATTTAATAATCAATGTCAAAAGAATCGTTAGAATTAAATTCATTCAAATTAATTAATTGTCCGAGTCATTAGTAAACTGTTGGATATTGATATATTTATAGAAAATATAGAGAAGCAAAAATATATGAAATACTGGAAGCATAAGACTTCTTGTTAAATAATTTTTTAATTACCTATTCATAAAAGTCATTAGTTTGTCTTTGCCCAATTACCGAGGCTTGAGAGGTTAATCTACAAATATTCTGCTTCTTCAATTCATGCGTTAAAAACACGAAATATTTAGCAACTGAGATTCCGATATCGATTAATTTAAAATTCCAAGGAACTTGAATCTTGTGAAACGCAGGTGCCAAGAGAAATGTTACAAAATCAATTGAACGACGCCTTGTAATCTCGAACAAACTGTTCGATTTGTCCATAGAGATGGCGTCTCGTCGCGCGTTCTTGCCTTGAGTTCAAAGATCATCGCTAAAAAAAAAAAAAAGAAAAAGAAAAAAAAAAGAAGAAAGAGAGACGAAACAGCGGCAAGAAACAAAAGAAAAAAAAAAACGAATCGCAAGAAAACGATGGATGCGTCTTATTGTTAGAGCGATGCGCAATCATGAACGTGATCTTAGGCGATTTCTCGGTATTTCAAACATTTGAACGAACCTACGTCGTATACCCTGACGGCAAGTGGCGGTCGACTCCACACGCTCGGCGTCTCTATAATTCGGAAACATCAAGAAAAAATCGTGTGTCACATTAAACGATAGATCACATTCATCAGGCCGTATCTAAAGCACGGAACGTCCGCCTGCGTGCGTGTATAATGTCAATATGGACGGAAATCAAGTGAAAAGGAAAAGAGTAAATAAAGAACTCGCAAGAGAGTAACAGACGGAAATGAAGACAAAAGAGAGAGAGAGAGAGAGAGAGAGAGAGAGAGAGAGA